AATATTGAAATTTGTAATGAGTTAAATGCAATCATTATACATTAAGAATAGAGATTGAGTTTGACTCTCTAAATTTGGAGAGTCAAACACACTCTTTAAAATGGAGAGTCTCTTGGAGCTCTTTTTTAACTTTTAAGTATTAACTATCTAAAATAAAGAATATTTTGTATTTAAAGAGTCTCTTGGAGATACTCTTACCCATTTCCATTTATCGTATTACCGACTTGATCGTCGGAGTGCTTGCAGCCATTATCACTACCACAAGAAAAGGTCACGAGTGACTAACGGTGTGTTTCAAGTACATCAAGAAGAACATATGTGGAGCTGCTTTTTGTTGGTCATGTGGGAGTTCATTTCTCGGAGTTAACAAGAATATTCTATCTGCTTTCTACAAATGTTCTTCAATTTTGCGATGTGTAACTGTAGAATGCTTCTCCAAGTCTTCATGTGAGGCTTTTACTTGGTCTTTTTCATAATTTTCTGCATAGAAACCTCCATTAATGCTCTTAAAACTTGTAGGATGACAATCTACACTTTTAGCCAAGCGTTGCGTCTACTTGCATCCACATTGGCATTCCCCATGCCCTGCCTCATCCGCCTTAGATTCACAAATTTCTAATTATTAGTAATTTAAGTTCAAAAGCATTAAAATAATTTTTATATAACACCTACTTCCCTTTCTTAAAAATCATTCTGATCCATTTTGCTTTTGGCATTGCCAAGCTTTTCAAAATGTTTTTTTAGCCCCTGTTCAATAAGAATTTTAATTTTAATTATAATATAAGTTAATGTCAAAAATTAATTTTAATCACATATTTCATGTGATCCACAACTTTTTAATTATAAATTTTATTTATGAAAATCTGCTAAAATTTTGATTAAAATTGATAAATGTATTTTATATACTTATTCAAGGCTTTAAATATGGATATTTATACGTTCTTTTGATTAATTTTAGCCTAATTCATTGTATATTTTATTTATTAGGTGAAACTCAATGAATTAGAAGAAGAATTGAAAGAAAGAAGCGAAAAATTGTGAAATTCAAAGTATGGGAACTAAATTATAACATTTCAATAGTTACTGACTATAAGACCCAACTGTCATTGAGTCTAGATAAATAATATATCAATTTTGAGTGACCATGGGCAGGCAAGAGTATTATGGAATAGTATTTTTTGGAAAAAGGTTTGGTTTAAAAATTAGAAAAAAAAGTTATCGATTTACATGTAAAATTATTTTATTGGAGAATGTGATTAAGAATGAGCTTGAAAAAATGAAATTTTGATAAAATGGGGCTCAATTGTGGGCACAGTCTCCGACCTGGGAATTCCAGTTTACTGGATGTCTTAACTGAAAAAAAAATAATAAAAAATAATAATAATAAAGGAGTTAAATGACTAAATTCAATTGCCAAAATGAAACTTCACATAAAATTGAGTGACCAATGCTATCTAACAATTGGCTACATTCCATAGGTTTAATTAAATTAGTCATATGACTTTGCATTTAAGTGAATTTATCATTTGATGATATCAGGCACATATAAGTGAACCTATCATTAGACGCGGGTAGTTAGTGTTAGAGATGATGAATAACATTACTCTTTGTATAAATTTATCAGCAGAAATTTTGGATTAATTCCAGGAAAAGACTCCATAACATGGATCGGTCTCATTTCATTCAGGGTTCTGGGTGTCATAAATTCAGCAGCCGCCTTAACAAAAGCTTCTCTGGTATACAAATCCGGTTCCGATCCTAATGCCTATACTCTAGTACGTTTCACCTGTGCTTGTACCAATACTGATCACATGGCCCAGAGCTAAATTCCCACATTCTGAAATCTGGGTTTCATTCTAATATCTTTGTATCAACAGCGTTAACCCATTTTTATGTGATGTTTGATGAATTAAATGATGCCCGCAATTTGTTTGTTGAAATTCCTCAACCAAGCTTGCTATCCAAGAATTCTTTAAGGCCCTGTTTGATATGCAAAGTTTTTCATAGAAAATGGAAAAAAAATTCCCCTTTCCCACCTCTTTGTTGGTTGATTGGGCAAAATTTTCATGGAATTCAGTTTCCATTTTTCCCACACACATGTGCATTTTCCATGAATTGGTAAAAAAACCAATTCTTCAGGTTTTTTTTTATTATTATTAATTTTTAATTTTCAGCAATGGGAATAAATTTTATCCACAATTGTAAAAAATTATATCCATTTAATTGATAACTTTTATGAAAAACAAAGTCAAATGAATATCAAAAGATTCAAAATTTCAACATTTTTCAGGTGGAAAATTATATCAATTAAACATATTAATTTAAAATTCTCAAGAAAACAAGTTCTAAGCAATTCAATTCCCTAAAATTCGTTTTCTTTCCTCCCAAATTTCATCCTTACAATCAAACGGATCCTAATTTCTCTATATGTACGTTCTGGGCGGTTCAGAATGTTAGATATTTAAATAATAAATATATTAATTGAAAGAAATAACTAAACTATTTAAAGTGCGGGAAGTGGGTAATTCGTGTTGGATGTCGGGGAGTTCGATTTATATCCCATGTGATTATTAAAAAATCTTTGATTGAGGCACATTGGCCTCAGACTTCATTGATTAAAACAATATTTTTTATTCATTTTAATCATTTTTGAATTTATTTAATGGGTCTAACTAGTCAGTATAATATAACTATTCTTAACAATTCATTATCAATAGTCCATTAAAAATTGCATATATTTCTAGATCATGGTAGAGACAAATATATTTATGTTGATCTATAATTGATTATAACCTTAAAGTTTTGATTATAACAAACAAGTTAGTCTTGTTTACTAAAAATTGAATTTATAGTGATTATAGTTTTTAAAGCATCAAATGATAAATTGATCGATTATCGTCAAAAGATCAAAATCAAGACTATCATAAATCGAACTCTTGAAGAAGGTCAAGATCAAAATCACACATTCAAGACAAGTCCATCAAGAAAAGATTTTAAAAGACAAATGCCAAAAAAAGATCAAAATCAAAAGTTCAAGAACCAAATGTCAAAGAAAGATCGAGACAGGAGCCTAAGAGCCAAACTTCGAAACAAGATCAAACACCAAATTTATTCGTTTAAATGTAAATGTACTAATATTTTGATCTTTAGAGATGAATGATAAAAGCTCGAAAATCATTTTGTGCACTAAAAGTTATTTTGATTATCACTTACAAAAAAATGTTTTTTTTTTTTATCAAAAGTAAAATTGATTTTCAAAATTATATTTGAACTTAGATCATATTTTTAAAACACAATTTGCCTTGAAAACTAGTTAAAAACTCCTTCTAGAAGTCTATATTTGTTAAAATAATCAAATCAGATCAAACGAGGTCAAAAATGAAAAAAATTGGACATCCAATCTGAATATGCGGACGTCCGATTGGTCATCCAAATCTCCAGAAAGTTATACAAAATCTCTCTATAAATTTGTGAAAGGCGGACATCCAGTTCGTCCAAACGAATGTTTGGTTGATGCGATGGTCAGATTTTTGACCGATAGATTTCATATGCATAACGGCTATTTTGGTCATCTGAATCCAAAGGCAGACATCTAGTTGGTTGTCCGATTTGACAGAGTATTTTACTTTTTGATCTCTATAAACACCCTCATTCTTTCCATTCTTCACAAGACTTTCAAAAGCATCAAAGTAACATATATTTTGAGAGAAATTTTTGAGCTTACATTTGCATTCTGTTCATTTATTTTTTTCATGTCAAAATTTTTTATTGATTGAATCAAGCTCCTTGTAGGCGCAGTGTACATGCAACTTTTGTTCTCTAATCTACTGGGGGCACATCCCGTAATTTACCTCTCTCACAAAATTCTAGGGGTGGCGTGGGGCAGGGCGGGGCGGGGCTGATTCATACTCGCCCACAGCCGCTTTATCGGCCTGTGGGCAGCTGAGGTTAGCGCAGGACAGAAAATCAATACATTCTAAGATTGTGAAACTTGGTGTCGAATGTAGTATTGTTGTTTCCAATTGCTTGATTGATGTGTGGAAAAATGTGGTTTCACCGCAGACGCAACATGCATTTTTGATGATATGGCTGGTAAGGATACTCTCTCTTGGAATTCCACTGTAGCCGCAAATACATGAAATGGGAAGCTTGAACGGGCATTTAGCATTTTTCTCCAAATGCCAAACTCAGATACAATCTGATACAATGAGCTTATCAGTGTCATTGCAAAGTTTGGTATCAAGAATGCCAAATCCAAATTCATCTTCATGGAATCGGATAATAACCGGGTACGTGATATCGGGACATGGTGATTCCAACAAGCTTATTCAGCTATTTGAGCAGTTAAAAACTACTAAGGATCTAAATAAGTATACAAGGCGGACAAGATGATAAATGAACTGGGATTTGAATCTTGGGGATTGGTACGGAGGGCACCGCTTGGGGCTTGTGTTCCTTGTGAGAACCCAAAAGTGGCTGAGAAGGCAGCAACGAAGTAGATAGAATTGGAAAGGGATCAGGAGGTTGTTTATGCAATGATGTCTAGTATTTACGCGAACTCACCCAAAAGTGGCTGAGAAGGCAGCAACGAAGTTGATAGAATTGGAAAGGGATCAGGAGCTTGTTTATGCAATGATGTCTAATATTTACGCGAATCATGTAAAATGGAACATGGTGGTGGAATCAGAGAGCTGATGAAGAAGAGTAAGGTGGGGAAAGAAGCTGGGTTCAGCTGGATTGAAGTTGAAAAATTCCTGGCCCCAATAACATGATACAGATGGAAGTTTACACTCAGTAGATGGATTAGATATTACTGAACAAGATTAGGAAAGAATCAGGTAACTTGAAATCTTGTAACTATAGCGTCAAGTCCTACTTGGTTCTGCATTCTGGAACCAGAGTTGCAGCTTCTGTCCTATAGTTTACACGAGTGCTTAACAAGAGAATTCAAAGCAATAATAGCTTGGCTCACTATTCTCAAGGTAATGGCCTACTTCACATTCACTATGCAATGTTATTGATCATTATTTCTCAACAACCCAAATCTGAAGAATTGATTTACAGATGAAAATCGACAAAAGGTAAAAATCCCAAGGGATATGCCCATTTAAATTTCGATACTAACTAAAACCAAAATCTCAATGAGGCAACCTCCAGAACATGGACAAGAAGGCCACTTCCAGCAATTAAAATGAGACAAAATTTGTTCATTATTAATACAATAATCAAACTCAATTATAATGCTTTGGAAACTCCAAGCGAAGTTTAAGAAATTGAAGGTATAAGCTGGAATAAATAGAACCTCCTTTTTGCCATTCACATGAAGATAAATCTCTGAGAGTCTGCTAATAAAGTCACCTTGGAACTGAAATGCCTAGCTCTAATTCAAGAAACAAAAAAGTTATATCAGAAAACAATACTAGAAAAAAATCCGCTTGAGGATAATCAAAAAATGTATGTCCCTTGTGCATTAATAGTTCAATGAAATAACTAGATACAGATCATTGATGCTAGACGATCCCAGTTTATTAACTTTAAAGGGTAATTCAGTCACATTGATATTGGATTCATCTTGAGATACGCAGTATATAAGTAGCATAAATATTCTTGAGACAAACTTCCAAGCAGATGAAGAAGCCCCACCTTGGGAAAAGTGTTTCACGTTCCATCAATTTCATCTGGGGGAAAAGGAGAGCTGTTTGTCACCAGACTAGTCAAACTAATGCATTATGCACAATCACTAAAGAAGAAATGCTGATACCAAATTCAAATGCTTTTGAATCTCGTGTTATTGCCTCTTTTTTCTCTCTACCTAGACCATTTTAGATAGATATAAATCTCATCCTGGGAAAGGAATGAGGGAGAAACGTTGGTGAACTACTTCGGACAAGGTAATCTACTAAGTTTTAAAAGATTTTGATGTATTCAAAACAAAAATCTTCACAAGGATAAATTATCTTTACTAGATGTTAGAAAAAAGGTACAGGGACTTCATGGATTAAGTTTCATAATGAACTGATTTTGACTAAGCTGCAACATAATTTTTCAGCCGGGAAAATGGTTCCATGAATTTTGCTGCAGAGAATTCTTCTTTCTAGAAATTTTGTAATATTTAATCACGAAACAAATTCAATGTCAATGTACAGTATGAAAATTCAACACATATCCACTAACAATCAAAAAATCAGAAAACATTCAGATAGATCAAAGTTGATATTCCGGACATGAAAATTAGAAGCTATGTGTTATATATAATATTCGAAATCAGAATTAAATAAAGATCACTGCAGAAATGTCATTAATTCACCAAAAAGCAATCAAATTATTTGCAGTAAAAAAATCCTAAATATACAGAAAGAAATATGAGCATTTATTGCCCTCTGCATCCATCAACACTTGAGTGCAAAACTAGTCACAAGATTCTTAACCAAGCTTTAATACGTGAGCATAACACACTGAATCATTATAGAGACCTTGTAAAATTCTGGTATTTCTTTCAAGCATTTGGAAACTCATGTGCCTGCAGCAACCAAATATTCTAGTCAGATAGCTTTAATGCCTTTTACCCTAAAACATATGCCTACACTTTTCATCAAGGACGTTGATTAGGAGATGAGGTAACAACTCCATAATAAAAAAAATAAACCAATTAAACAACTAGAAGTCATGGTGTGCTTCTAGAGTGAAAAACCAGCTTACTCAAAAATGAGGTACAGCCATTTCAAAAAGCACTTTGATATCACGACTGAGGAAAATCAAAACCATTTAACTCTTCTTGTATAATTCAATCTACAATGCTTAAATGTAATGGTTTTAGAAGATTGCTAGTTATTCTTGTAATCCTAAAATCACTAATCTCTCTCTTTCTCCAACTTCACACATTTCGAACTCACGAGTAGTAGTCTATTGAGGTACTACTGAAACACCTGGAAAATCAAAAGGAACGGTCAATGACTCCCTTGATTAATCTAGGCCTTCCAGGAATCAAATTAACACAGAAGAGTTACTTGGGATGAAGTGTCAATTAAATCTCAGGCAGAACAAATTATCAAGTTAAAATCAGCAGGTCATGCACGAAGTAGATAAGTAGCAATAGCAGTAAGTTGTGACATAACAGGTCTCCTATGGGTACATAATTATTCTTAAAAAAAAATTAATGGAATTTTCACGTATGACGGAGCACTTGGACACAAATTTAAGAGCAAGATATTAGTTTTCTAGGGATAAACCAATTGATTATACTCCAGCATCCCCAAAAAATAGAAATTTATAAACAGAGATAGAAATTTATTAATACTTATGATTTTCAAAGGAGACAGTAGTGAAATTTACAATTTTATATTGAACAGTTCAACCTTAACATTTCCCAATTACTAAACAGGAACAGAATTTGGTGCAGAGAAATTCACAAGTAACATCATAAAGGCACATACTAGAGATCTGGAGAAATGCAGCAGAACGTACCCTGAGAAAGAGCCCTGCAACTCCTCGATGTTGAGCTCAGGCATGACGTCATCCTAGCCGTAGCGACTGCGCTATGCAGCGGCAGCATTGACGCCACGCATCCCAGTCCGGCCGGACACCTAACAAATCCATAAGCACGTAAAATCAACCACACAACAAAAATACCAGCAACATAATCTTCGTTACAGGCCTGTACCTCCAGATTGAAGGCGAGGGTTTTGAAGGGAGAGATGGTTTAGGAAACGACGTCGTGGCAGAAGGGGAATTTGATTTCTTCAAGGCGGATCTGAGAGTTGAAATGGTAGCTCTGTTAATGATTCGGCTGCACTTCGAAGCCATTGCTGACAGGAAAATATAGAGACTAGGAGTCGATCGAGGGTGTGATAAAACCTGATATTTTGGGCCTGGGGATGAGTCGAAGTCGAACCTCGGGTTTATGGTTTTGAGGGATTGAAGTTCACATTTATCCTTGTATGATCCCATTTTCATGACGCCTTTTTCTTTTTCTTTTTCTTTTTTTTTCTTTTCCAATTTATTGTTAATATTACGTTTTTTTTAATAAAATAATTTTACTCATGTATTCATAACTTTTTCTACAACTTTATATTCTCCAAACAATCATATTTGGTGTACGTCTCATTTTACACCTTAGTTGACACAATATCATGTGACATTCTTTCATTGAATAATTTAAACAAAAAAATTTTTGCAGCCGATTATTTTTTGACAACATCGCACTTGTCAACTAGGATGTCAATTTAGCACACTGACTCAACCCAAAAAAAGTCCAAGCCGGCTCATGTCACGGGCCAAGAGAGAGAGAAATGTCACAAGCGGTGTGATGTTGCCTTTGCACTTTTGCAAGCAGCCTGATTTATATTAGATGGAAAAAAAAAAAAAAAAACATAAGTCGACCGAGCCGAAAGCTTGGGTTGAGCCTAAATTTTTTGGCCGAATAAAAGCTCAGCTCAACTTGGGCCAAAAAAGTCCAAACCATTATTACTTGAGCTAAGCCCAAGTCTCAAGTTTCAGTTCATGAATCGACTTGACTCGTTGACATCCTTAGTGTCAATAAAGTTGGAAAAATGGGTGTACAAATTACATAATCATTCTCCAAAATAATTATTTTTCATAGAATCTATCTCAAAAATTTCTTCCAAACAAGATATTTTCCTAACGGTAATCAATTGTATCACTCTATTTGTGCGTAATAGATTTGATTAAATATAGTTAAAACTAACGAATTGTTAACATCATCATCTTCATCAACAAATTTTGATATGTTAGCTCCATCTCAAAATTTGACAAGAGCGCATTGAGGAGTGAAAAATAAAGAGGTACATATAGAAACCTTTTATAATTTTAAATTGTAAAGCTCTTGTTTATTTTTGGTTCAACTTGATCCTTCTTAAATAACTTCATACTGTGACAACCTAATTGCGATGTAACTTCTACAGTTCTACAAAATTGGGATGTACTTCAACATAGTCGAGCGCAATGCATTATTGTATACAAAATTTAGTCAGAACTATAGTTGTTAGGTACTGTACTTCTGTCCTTCAACTTGAACCATATACGCCATCTTGTAGCAACTGGATTCGAATGTGCTAAAGTTCTATCATGTCATTAAAATTATACTCGAAACAATGGATTATGATGTAACTAAACACACAAACTTCATTTTATTATATGATAATGCTCCAGTAACCCAATAGAAACAAGAAAGTTTACTTCCTATTCAAAATGGCCATCTAAAGCAGCCATTGCTAAACTGGTACATGCTTCGAAACTAGAGTTTAAACTAAACTGAACACAACCCAAAATCTGTGTCATATTTGGTTTCCCCAATGACAACTATGGCATATTTTGTACACTAAACTGAACATCACGATGTATCAAACATGTTGAGTATCTCATTAGTGCAGCGTATAATAGAGCAATCACAATAAATAATCTAATAGTGTGTCACATTGATATAGAAAAATACCATATCCACCCGTAATTCAAAATATTATGAACGAAATAACACACTTTCTATTTATTATCAAGGCAAAGGAAATTCATCATCATTCATAAGCTCTGTTGGAATTATTTCCACAAGCATTGGAGAAGAGAGTCAAGACACTACAAAAAATATAATTTAAATTACAGATGAAGAGGTCCCTCTCAGTTACTTTTATGTAATTTATTTCTAACTTTGACCAACAAAAAAATAATTTATTTTAAAACGAACTTACAAGTAAATTATTTAAGCTTAGCCAAGCATGCTCAAAGCCCTTCAATTCTATCTTCACATAATCAACACAACCAACGAGTACTATGAATGAAACTGCAAGATCTAAGGATTTCCTATAAATAGATGTCCTGCAATGCTTCTTGCAAAACTAAAATCGAAATTTTCATATACAGCCTATCCCAATTGAAACAAAAACACATCATCGTTCTGAATCTATAAGCAACTAAATCAATATGAACATCTAGTACACCTAAATTTTACAGCAGGAACACACGAGCGAGCATTTCTATTCCCAGATTCAACCTCTATGATAATAAATAAACTAAAAACATATGCAATCGACACTTGATCTATCCAATCCCACAAAGAGATCAATTTGACAGCACTCATGTCATCCAGAATTCATTATTCCCTGTCATGAAAATGCCAGTAGTCATCTTCGTGATCCTAACCAAGATATTATGCAATTTGAGTCGAGAAAAGTTGTTGATTTTACCTTCTAGATGTGCCCTTGCTGATGTTTCTGTGAATCTTGTCTTGGGAAGAAGTTGGAACCTTTGAGATAATCAGTGAGCTTTGCAGCCCTTCCAATAGCTGAAATCAGAAAAGAACTGGATGCTGAGGCGTAGAAACTTGAATAACAATATGATAATAGCAAATTTCATCCCATAGTACAGTAGTCGTCTACAACATATTCTGATATTCCATAATTTGTCTGCAACTTGATGTTGGTTGAATTCGGCGATTTGATCGACGGGGTTCAACTACTTCAGGAGCAGAGCTGTAATTAGCATCATTATTTGCTGGCTTCCTACCAGCAGGAATGAGTTTTCCTTTGTTGGATCGGTCAGACTTTGTATTTGCTGATGGTGCTCTCTTACGAATCTCTTGGGAGGAAGCTTGAGAAGAAAATACAACAGGTCCTTCAGCTACCTCTTTAACATTAGAAACGGTTCCAAATGCAGTCAGATTTCGCTCACCTGATTCATTCTCATCTTTTGAGTAGGTCGAGTAATCCTTACGAGATGACATCCTACTTGGAATAGGTGGTTTTCCAGGATTAAGACTTTTGGATTTAGATTCAGCTGCTTGTTTCTCTTTCGAATCTATTTTAGAACTATTTTTCCACCCGCGGGATCCTGATCCTTGAGGCATTAAACAGTTAGCTAACTTCACGGAATCGCTGGGCACGTTAGTCTTGTTGCTCTTATCTGAAACATAATGCTTACTAACATCCATGAACTTCCTCTTCTTTCCAGGTTTAGGGACGCCAAATATAACTTTAGATCCATCTTTCTGCAACCCAGACCTCATTGTTCTCGTCGTGTCTACCTTATTCTCGTCCCTGGTAGTGCCGATACTGAAAACTTTCTCATTAGAAGATAATGGAAGTAGTCCTGATTCTTCTTGCATCCCAAGTTCCACAAATTCAATGTCTTTTGACATCTTCCCCTTCCCTTTTGATTCAATAGCATTGCTTCCTCGCTTTAACCTTTTCTCCTGAGGTGTCTCCCCCTGAAAATTGGATGTACAGCTATATAAATGACTTGGAACTTCCATGAAATAAGATGCTATAACATATATATGAGCAAATATAACCTGTGAAGAACCATTTTGTCTCGATCTGTACCATTCAATCCATTGTCCATCACTCCAAATTAGAGTCGGCCTGAGATTCCATGCTTTGATAAGAGAGGTCTCTCCTCGAGCTACCACCACAACCAAGTTTTTACTTCTCAAAGCAACCCAATAAAGTAGCTTGAAACAATGTTCGACAGTTAAATTCAGAAGTACCTGGGAAACTGACACTTAAACTGGTTTCATCTTTTTCATCTTTTGCTGTAATCATGCCTTCATGCCAGCTGAGACACATGAAAAATGCGATGAGATGCATGAAGTGCGAAGTAGAGCTTCAAGGAAAAGAAACAAAAGATAAATCAGAAAAATCTAGAAGCATCCATAGTTAAAGACAGGCTAAAGACACATTTCTTACAGCATTCTAATAGTAATAACAGACCCAGGCAAGTAATATTTCGAAGACAAGAAAAGGGCAGACCTGGTGGAGTCAGGTGAACTTAAAGGCATTTTCAATGTACATTTCAAAAATAAAACATTCTTACTCTTTATTCATTTGCCTCAAAATCTTTCTCGAGAAATATTGCACATAGAAAAGCTTTACAAGACTTGAGATAAATCACTAAAGTCTGTAGTTAGTACAAGGCAAAAGTACCCCAAGTGTAAAAACCAAAAATAATAATAATATTTTTTGAAAATAACAACAGATCTCTATGTTACCATTACATACATAACTGTATTTGAGATGCTTAATGCTGTATACAAACATGGACGATGTATATATACATATATTTAGCAAACACAAGCAGGCACACAAGTATGAAGTGACAAAGTCCCACTGGAAAACGAAAGGGAAAATCACAGAGTCGGGAAATCTTGCACCCTTATGTTTTGGCACCATTCTACCCTTTGGGTAATGTTGCAGCTCAAATCTTCTGAATAAAAAACAGCCCATTATGGCTGTTAAATTCACACGACTATCACATGCTCAATTTTTCAATGGTAGATGGTCTGTCACATAAAAATACAAAACACTAAATCTTCCCCAACCCTACCTACCCCTGCTGCTGAAAACCCCCATCCATGCTGCTGAAAACCCCCCATCCACCACAACCACCAGCAGCCTCCCCAAGGCCAGGCAACCACCACCATCAACCTCCCTAAGCCCAGGCAACAATTTCACAGCAGCGGCTAGCATTTCATCAATGCAGATGTTCTTTCTTATTAGCCTACTAGAACGACGAGATGTAAATACAAATTGCTCAATTTCTGGGTAAACTTAATCAGTGAGTCGGGAGCAAATCTCACCGAACTCTTGATTTCATATTCAATACTATGTCTTGAACATGTGAAAATGGAAATGGTGGTTGCGGCGAGGTTGGTTGCGGTGAGGTTGGGAGCTGTCAGGGACTGGAGGCTACCGTGGTGGTGACACAATTGGTGGTGAAATGTGGCTGCGGTTGGGCTTTGGGTCTGAATCTCCATCTTGACGCACTGGCCTGGGGGAGGAAATTGAGATGGTGTATTAGGAGAAGATGGGTTGAGCATGAGGGTGGAGGATGGGGTTGCCGTGGGCGATTGAGCAGTGAGGGTAGCAATCAGGTTGGCCAGTGAGTGCGTGGGATTTGGGGGGGGGTGGGAGAAGATTGGTAGTTTGTACCCACTGGAGGTCACACTCGAATCCCGTCCACAAGGATAGGGCTGCGTACTTTCTTCTTTTTTATTTAATATATGCTTCACTTCGGGTGGTGGTACGAAAAAAGATAAAAACAAACACCAGATTTAAGCAATTATCCAGAAGATAACAAAAGGTCAGCAAATATCAATGAGATAACAAGATAAAGCAAATAGGAAAAGATGCATCTAGTTACCAATCTTGCACGCATGCATCAACTCTATCTCCAACAGACCAAGCATAATCCTTGAAAGCTGCTCTGCTTCTCTTCCTAGTCCTTTCAAGTTGCACAAAGGTCGTAGGATGTGGAATGCGTATTATCGGTGCATTATCACCTTCTGCTTCCAGTGGTACCCATTCCTTCAGCTCTTCTGATCCTTAAACAGGACCACATCATGAATCATTTGAGATAACAAACAACAAAAAGCTTATGAATAAGACAAATGTACAAGAAGCATGCCGAATCACATTAGTGTGTGCATTGCACCTCTAACCACTAAGAGAACAAAATTTGTTTTAGAGACAATATCAGACTCCACCTAATTAGATTTTTCCCTACTGTTATCAGTTCTCTTTACACCTTAAAATTAATCAGTTTTCACATCAAAAACCCTCAGTGAAAGAGTGGCTGCAGGAGCTTAGTTGGCAATGCCTCTCCAGTTGGCAATAAAGTATGGTAAAAGGTATGCCTACATAAAGTAACTCTAAAGTTCCGTAACTAAGTTTGTCTTCTGTACAGAACTAGTGGTTCACAGCAAACCCTTACAAACAACTAGTTGGTCACTTACCTTCAAATTGGAGTTTGGTGTAATGAACTAAGGCTTCCCCATCCTTCAAACTCGATACTTTTGCTGAATACCATACTTTATTTAAAGCATCACGATCTTTTAGAACCTGTAATGCAAGTAGTTGATCCCACGAACGAAAAGGATAGCAATATACACAATGCAATTGAACGAAAAACATCAGAACTATTAGATAATGATTCACAATCTAAAATGAAAAACTCAAGAACAAATGTAAAAATTCACAAACCTCAACAAGGCAACCTTCTGTTATGATTGCTGTATTTCCATTTCGATCACGAATGGAAGACTTGGATCTTGATTCAATATCCGATTCAGAAACAATGCCAATGGTTTTAGCTGAGTCAGATGTTTGACGGTCCTTTTGTGCTTTTGAATTATTCTCCCTGTGCTTGACAGAGGCAATCAAACTATCTTCTGCCATGATTCGATCATCAGTTATATTTCTGGTTAGTGCTCTTTGAACCACTGTTTCCTTGTCAGATTCCTCATGTTGATTCACATATTTGTTGTTAGATTCATTTCTATTCATGTCATCTGGTTCTGAAACCTGCAAAGAAGGTGCATGCGAGACCTTCCAATAACCATCTGGGCCAGCTTCTGCTAATTCAATCAAAGGCAAAGGATCACCCATAGCTACAACTTTTCCTGCTTGCGATACTGCTTCGGCTGCCAATTCTGCAGCCTTGACAATTGCATCTAAATTTTGTGCATGCCTTGTGGCAGCTGAAGCAACCTCAACCTTTTTCCTAGCAGCTTCCCTAACCGCAGATATGATTGAACTGGAACCGCCATTTCCATCCCCACCCTTCAAAATGGATGCAGGAGTCGCATTACCCAGATTGTGAATGTGTGCAAACATGGGAAGAGAAACAATATTGTTTCTGGTAGTATTGGCAGTTCCATGCTTGAGCACTGCATCATCCGCCATTTGTTTTGCTTGCACTGCAGCTTCTGAAGCAATCTGAGCAGCTGCAGCTGCAGCCTTTGCAACAGAAGCAGCAGCTGCTATGGTAACAGCAGCAGAAGCTAACATAGCCTCAGCATCAGACGTCAAGTCAGCATTCTTTAGCTTATCCAACTGGCTCCAAACACCTTGGCAGTGACCGATGGAAGTGGCCGCCTGGGCAGCAGCCAACTCAGCTTGAAGCTTTGCCTCCTCAACCTTGTTAATATCATCCCGATTTATTACCCTCTTCTCCATACTTATTTCCCCCCTACTTGGGTTATCACTAAAAATTGACGGAGATGCAGCAACCAAAAATTTATCGGCATTGCTTTTCGGCACGAAAGTAGATGGAGTTGTTATGGTAACAGAAGTAGAATAATGACTACTAACATTAAGAGCAGGCACTGTTTCTGCCTCACTTCGGGCAAGCAGAGAGAATTGGTTAAGATTTTCCACTACAGGAGCCTTCTTTGACAAATGACTATCTAATACAGGTGCAGAAACTAGGTCCCTCTGAGTAGCTGCGGCAGAACTTTGTACAAGATCCTCAGCACCAGAAGTCTTTTTCCTCTTTCGAGTCTTTGTACCAGTAGAATTATGGCTTGATGATACTGAAGCTTTTTTCATGTCAACCAGGGAAAAAGGCACTGCTGAGGTACTAGAAACCCCGGAATGAGCAACCGGAATGGGAGATGCATGCTTTGCACCAGAAGTAATAGGAATGGATAATTCTTTAACTGGGGTTAATTTTACTGGTTCAGTGACAGGAAATACAGAATATTGAGGACCAATATCAAAGGCAGAACTTTGTGAGGAAGCGACCCACGGTCCAGGAACGGGAGCTTGCGATGGCCAAGAAGTGGTAGGTGAAACAAAGCTCCGAATGGGTGGAGTCTGATAAGGATGCAAAGGAGAAACAGCCTGGTAATCAAAAATAGCAGATCTGCTCACATTGCTAGGCAGACCATCACCTGATGGGGTAGATATGTTCCATAGGGGTGATGAAAGAGGGATCGTGGAATTAAATGCCGTTGAAAGGGAAGCCTTGCCGCTAGCTCGACCTGCAGATGAGGCAGGTACTTTACTTTGAGATAGACCCTGTTTACTGGCTTGATCTGAAGCTTTAGCAACTGATATGTCAATTCAGATAAACAATTAACCAACGTTAAATCATACTTGATAATAGTCAAGACTCGAGTAAGAGGTACCTGAACGTGATTGTACAGGTGTTTCAGATATATTTCCCTGAGATTTTTTATTATGAATCCTTTCAACACAAGCACGCCATGAATGCTCCCAAATGCCTTTCCCTCCATCTGTCATTGTAAGATAAAGTAAAAATATTACATGGCTAGGGTTCATGTATTAAGCTAGGAGACAAAAAGAAGCAAAACCAAATGAACCCGACATACCGAAGGCTGACGCCATACAAGCCTCATCAGGTGCTGCTCCTTGGCTGCAACCACCGATTAAAAACATAATCCAACCAAATAAATAAATGAAAGACACGACAAGTAAACATCAATGAAATCCAAAATATTCAACAATAAAAGATTCAACAGCAATCACAATTTTCTCACATCAATCTTCCATTTGTAACACATGAATTTATTGTCCAGTGTCTATACACTAGAAAGATTAAAATTAGGATGATTAAATCATAGGAATCAGTATATAATGGTATCACAAAGAAAACTTGCATGAGCACTCAACCAAAACATGAGTAACGAAAATATAAAAATCAAAACTCACATAAGGGATCCATAAACAAAAATCTGTGCTCGTAGTTGCACTTGCTGTAAATCTGTAAAAGGCTGACGAAAGAGTACAGACGCAGGAGCAGAACTGTTCAGATCTGGCAGGTCAGAGGTAGGTACAGAGACATTCCCACTTGCCTTTGTAGCACCGCGTTCAACATTTCCAATTTCTAATTGCATGAGTTGACCTGTCACAGATGGGCTCAAAGACACGTGTGACTTCTCTCCCCTCTCATTCTGTTTCAGTGGTATCGTTTCCTTTACTCCCTTTTTTCCACTTTCTTTGACAGATTTACCACTACCACGCCTTGCTTTACGTTCAGAGGGACCTTTAAGACCTCCAGGGGGTGCCCTCCCATCAAGTGCTAGTGGATTTCTATGAGAAATTTCTGGCACTAACTTAACATCCACTTGACGGTTACTAGATGTAGAAAGGGTTCCCTCCACAGCCTTCATTAGATATTTGGAAGATCATTAGAAAAGAATCATCAATGATAACAAAACAAAGTTGTGCAATATCAAGAAATTCTCAATCTATGGCCAAACAAAGAAATACCAGAGATATTTTCTGAGCTTGAATATTGGGAAATGATTGTGAACTTTTGCCAGGTTCTCCCTTTGATCGACATGCCAGTGGTTCGACATCAAAAGTAAAGGTCCCATCTTCAGTGGAGACATCCTTTGATCCTGGATGAGTGCGTGTTTCACCTTCAGATTTGTGAACATTCTCAGCCACATTCCCTTGAAGGCTCTCCTGTTCATCTCTTTTACTTTGTGTATGCTCACAGCAACTAATGCCACTTGAAGAAACCTGGTTAGATTGATCAATTTCCGCAGAACCACCAGTACCTGCAGTCAAATGAATAGAAAAGTTTAAGATATATCAGAAAGATTCAACAACGGAAGCGCTCACTTGCAAAGAATTAACTCAAAATTAAGCTGGCACAATTGACAGAGGACATATTTGACCACAGAAATTTCTTTGAGAAACAGAAAAAATATTAACTAACCAGAAAACAGAATTCAAACATATGCTGCAAATTAAAAGCCAAAAAAAGATGCCATTTTCTTCTGGATAGAAGAAGTCCTCGTCAACAACTATCCCGACTCTGCTCAGCCATCATCAATTACTTAAAATTGAAAATCATTATAGTCAGTTACAGCAGTTCCAAGTCATAAAATCAGAGGCATGCTAGTGTCAACAATTCACAATATTGGTAGCTAATTTTGTATTGAAGCCATGTCAAGATTGGGGTTCCGTGGTTCAGCAGGTAGAAGAGTTCAGCATATC